TTCGTCTGGATCTGTCTTACGTGACTGCTCACTCATGTATTACCCAACATTCATAATTAATATTTTTTGTAGGCAGAAGTGGCCGCATGACCCTCCGCTTCCGGATTTGGAGTCGTCGATCTCCAATAGAACGAAATATTGATTGCAGTTCTGTCCACAATAGTGCTATTCGACTTGATTTTACGTTCATTCATAATATATCCTGCCCAGGAGAATATGAATTTTACAATCTTCTCTAGATTGGTTATTTCTTAAGATCATGTCTAAATGCTTTTCACCCTGTTGAATCGCCATCAAATTTATCAAAATCCGTCTTTATGCCTCATTCGCTGTTCCACTATCTCTCGCCCATTACCTGTTGCCAGCAGTCTGTTTTCTCGTAGAAAAGCCATACTTATACTTGTATAATGGATTATTTATTTTGTTATAAATAAAGTGTGCATTTTCTTTGGAAACAATTTCATAAACTTGCCTATAAATTTCTACTCACTCAATGATATTGCTATGCACCGTACGTAAATTTGTTGATAACATTGTGTGATAAAATACACGAGTATGTACGTACACACGTATACAAATGAGCCTCGCGTTTGACCGGCGGTCGATAAATACGCTTCGTATTCGTACTAAACATGCTTTACTAAACCTATCACGCACACAGATGAACGACAACACGTGTGTGTAGATGATGTACATATAGTAAATTTAATTTTCCCCGTAATCGTTATAGAAATATTAAGCCGAATACACTTTATGACCCCCCATAGAGCTATGACCATAGCCTCGCGTTTGACCGGCGGCCGATAAACACACTTCATATTCATACTAAACATGCTTTACTAAACCTATCACGCACACAGATGAACGACAACACGTGTATGTACACGTACATATTATTTAATTTTCCCCGCAATCGTTATCGAAATATTAAGCCGAATACACTTTATGTATGCAGCTCACCCATTGGCTTAGTATATATACATACACAACATAGATACATATGCTTAGTCATCAATACGGTACGCTCTGATACATTTCCATAGTTTCTTAGATCGGGCTCTAGATGGCGTTAGTGTAAAACCGCGCCGCCATACTGTACGTCATAGTGTATTTGCACCCCAATTTTTAATATGAAATAACCTATGGAAATAACAAATTTATATGTTGTAAAATAAAAATGTGTACTACCTCGCGAGCAATCTCCACAACAGATGGCACTCTCGCTCTGGCTCAATTCACCACTGCAACAAATGGATTTTTCGTTACAATTTGTAGGGTGTCACTTTCCCCCGGGCGTAGAGGGAGGGTGCCGCTACGTGGCAGCACTAGTCACTTCGTACACTTCAAAGTCCAAATCTTCCACAGAAAAATTCCACAGTCATACTTCCATGCTAGACATAACCTGTATAATACAGTCGTTATGTTCTGCACGGCTACACTAACGCATGTAAGCGAGCGCCGCGCCAGCGGTTCGCGAGCCTCGTTATCGATAGACCGAAAATGGTGTTTGACTTATGGCGGGGAATCGGATTAGCGGCGAGCAATCGAGCGTACAGAAGTAAATACGGCAAAACTTCGCCCCAGGCAAATACCGGATGAATGGAAACAATCTAGTTAATAGCTTTGGCAGAAGCGTGCACTAATTGCAGTTATAAATTCAACTTGAATAACTTAAGAAATGACGTCAGGCAAAAGCCTGCTCGCTGATTGGACGACCTAATCACAGTTGCTGCGACATGCTCACTCATTGGCCGGTCTGGCTCAGTCAGCAGCCACCCACTTTCATATAGTAAGGGGTTAATGCTCTGGTGAGTAGGCCCTCTAGCGGCCGTTACGATCAGGAGCGGTGGCGCGGATTTAGATGGGGGCACATCCGGCCCGTGCCCCCCCCTTTTGAAACCAAAAAAAAAATTACAAAATTACAAAAATTAATTTTTCTCAATTTCAATGTTGTAAATAAGGTTACAAGATGAGGTTCCAGTCAGAAATTGTGACATCATGACCCATTTTCATGTTTAACATAACTATTCAAATTTGTCAGTCATTCTTCTGAATTTCCTGCCAAAGAAAACATCTCAGAGTCATTACAAGAATTTGATTTTTACATTGTTAGAGATATATTTCTGGCCTGCAACTGTTATATGTCATACATGTATGTAACCGGATGTTTCATTAGAGAAGAAAGTACTAATTTTATTTTGCTTCTGTAATGACATACTCATACTAATACAAACATTCTTTCAAGTTTGAAATATATTCGAGCGAGTTATATCACAAGATTTGCATTTTGAAATTGCAATATGTTTCTCTAGCCTGAATAGTTATTTGATATGTGAATGTGCTTCTGTAATACAGAAATATATAAGGTTTAAAACATTTCAGTGTAATGTAATTTCTCGGTACATTTGACGGTCTTGCCTCCCCCCCCCGCCCTATACCGAAAGGCTGGTCACGCCACTGATCAAATTTAACACATAAATGCTTGCTGCAAT